TRWYAMAAAARKWAAAAAAACATCATGTTAACAAATAATCCCACCCCATACAAAATAATGTACAGTTTTACACTTTAAAATAAGGATCCCTTTAATATTTGTGGATATTCATAATGCAGTTATACAATATTATATGTTAAAATATGTGTTTACAAAACAATATTGTGCTTACAAGGTAGTAAACTAGTCTGAATTGTTTAATAAAACAGATTTGGCTCGGTATTTGGAAAGAAACAAAACAGTTTAGTCTCTTTTTTGTCCTTAATTAATGCATAATAAACACTTTTTAATAATTTATAAAGTGTTTACAGATGAATTAATAACCTTTTTATAAACTCTTTAAAGGCCATCTATAAGGGGAGCCTTATTGTCTTTTTAAGTACCTTTTAAAAAATGACATTAAGTGTTTGAACATGAATGACTGGTTAAATATACACCTTACCAAAACTGTGGATTTGTATGAAAGGATGTTGCACAAAGTCTTGTCCCCTCTATGAATATTGTGGCCCCTTGATGGCCCCTGACTCAGAAAAAATAGATCCGCCCCTGTCTACTGAGTCACCTCTGTCTCATCTGTCACATGAGATGTGGCGTTTTGTTGAAAATATGTCCGGCCGCTGAGGAAGAACCACAGAAATCACTGACGGCACTCATCAAAACAACTGAGTAATACAAAGTTTCAGAAAAATGTTAGCCGTTGCATAAGAAAACTGAAAGAAAACATATTTTAAAAATAAAAGTCAGAGATATTTTCTGATATTTCACATGAAATCTTTGCTCCAGTTGCTGCAGAAGTGTCAGTTGTAAAAATAGCACTCCCATCTTGGTGAAAAACAAATATTTGAGCTAAATCCCTCTATCTTTTAGTAATTACACACATGCTGTGCTGCTTAGCAACAAATGAAACTTCCTTGTGCTGTGAGAGCAAATGAGTGTGTGTGATAGAACACACACATTCCTCACACTGTGATGGAGACAGACGGTGCTCATTCTGCACTCTTCGCCCAAATCTTTGTTTATGTGGTTTGTTAGCAACAAAAAACAACATTTATGTGTGCCAATGACAGTTACTTAGGATAATTTAAAATATTTATCTTTATTTTGGGTTTAATAGTAGCTTTAGCCTTCTTTAATATCAACATATTGGTTAAATTTGCAGCAACAGTTCTCAAAAAGATATGCAAGGATTTCCTAAACCCATATTTTATTTGTAGTGGAACAGAAAACATATCAAATATTGAAATTAAGAAAAGTTGTTCACTTTTGACCACTAATGCACCCCAACACCATCAGAGAGGCAGATGTTTGAACTGTGCGCTGACTACTGCAGATGTTTCCTCTCCTTTTATACAGATTTTGTTTTTTCTCTTGGTTTTCCCAACATTTGGTGTAATCATGTGTTGTCACGCGATGCAGCTGCATCCTAAAACAACAGTCACACAAACCGATGAACAAACCTGTACAGATCCGATGTYGATGCAGGATTTTCCACGGCCTCTTTAAACGACAGTGACCGGGGACAGGCGTTCAGAGTTTAGCTCCTGTGTTGGCCCATGTCACAGCAGTCCATTAAAAGCCYGACTACGAGGAAAGCGTGCATCTGTCAGGGCAAATTACACGAGGACGACAGTGATGGAGCGCCCTCGGGTCTTCAGTCAGAGCCTCTCATCTTCCCATCGGACTTAACATCAGACTCATGAAGGAAGCTTGTGATGCCAGTAAACAGCCATCATTCACACTGACATTTTATCTGCGCCTGAACATGTGAGAAAGAGGGTTTTCTCATATGAATTATCTTTTCTGAAAATCATCTGTTTCTGTGGTGACTGAATGTGAGCCATGCTACTCTTTACACTACCTGATATTAGTTTAAAAACTTAAGCAATCTGCAAAGTCCTCAGGTTTATTTTTTCTGGATTTCTGGGCTATGGATTTATTTATTTTAATTTATTATTATTAT